TCAAATACATACATACATATGTACATACATACATACATATGAAAGAAAAAGGATAAATTCAAGAGACATGTAACAATTCATTAAAAATATTTTTTTTTTTTAAAATTCACATTAACCTACATTGTGCAGTTTTCTGAGACCGCACTCTTCAGAACTCGGTAAGAAGGTGTCGCTGGTTTGGATATTTTTTGGCGTGATATAGATCTAACCAAGGGTGTGGTGCTATTTACTTGTTCGGTTCCGTACTTACCTATTTATCTTTGAGACAGACAGTTTCATGTAGCCGAGGCGGCATGGCCAGTTTATGCAGTGACGGGGACCGAACCCATGACGTTGCCAACGTGAGGCAAATGCTCTACCAGCGGAGCTATTCTAAGGCCATTATTTGATTTTATTAAGACAGGGTCTTCTTGAGTAGCCCAGGTTGGTCTGTAACCTTTCACCCTCGGGCTTCAGCCCCTGGAGGGCTGGCATCTGAGTCCCTGCCTCCACATCCAGTTTAGAATGCCTCAGTCTTTGCAAGTCACCATCCTTGGCCTTCAGTGAGCCATCACCCTTCTCTCTCACGTTTATGTCTGTGTCTGGTCTGCTGTGATTCCCTGCCGGCTTCGTAAACTCAGCATGATAAAGTCGGCATAGTGTCTAGACGTGATTGTGTCCTTAAGGGGGCGGGGTTGAGGGTTCCTTGGGTTCTACTTTGGTAATCACACCTTTCCCGGGCTCCCTACGTCCCCAGTGACCCGCACGACCTCAGGACCAGGTGGCCCAGGTGTAGGCGACACGGTGCGGCACTGTCAGCCTGACTGAGCTTCTCCGATAAGCACAGTTGCAGTGCGCCCCTCCTGGGGTTAAGCCGAGGTCACACTGCCCATCGCACCTGCTGCCGGAACAGAAAGCACGCTGCTGATGGATCCGGTTTTTTCTTTTTGCCATCGCTTTTCAACCCATGCTAATCGGCTAAATTAAATCTATCTTTAGCTGTCTTGTGTTGCCCTGGGCACCGCTCATTTATCCCAGGCCAGTAGGTCAGAGGGACGGCGTACTAAAGAAAGTGTAGGAGTTCTTAAGTCTTTGGAGACAGAGATAAGCACTCCAGGCAAAGGGAACATTCCAGGGGATGGGGGTGGGGTGGGGCAGGACAGAAGACACCTTGTGGAACGACGGCTGTCTGTGATCAAGGTGTCCGTGCCTTCATGTCTAAAACAGTTCAGGACTCTTCCTAGTGAAAAGCACGTGTGCCTACCTGGTCCAATTTCGTTGGTGGAAGTCCTTCCCCTAAGCCAACTGCAGTGCCTCATGCTACAGACATCTTTTGCTGTGTATCTATCCATCCACCGACACATTGTCCCAGTGGACACATTGAGATGCACTAGTAGAAGACGTGTCCGTGAAGGCGCGGGGGTCGGGTCCAGTGTGCTCCACTGTCCCCCCATCCGGGGGCCTCCACTCCGGGCCGCGTGAGTCAGCCCCGGGCGGCTCCCGCGTCATCCAGGCCGCTCTGCTCCACGCTATTTCGGGCTCCGGGCGCTATAAATAGAGGCTCTCACAGCCGAGGCGAGCCAGGCCCCCTCTCTCCTCGGGCCCCCTGTGTCCCCGGCCCGCCGCGATCACCGTCACCGCGGCTAAGTTTAGAGACGGGTGGGGATGCCGGCCTGGTCACTGCGGTCCCCCACCCTTGCCGCCGCAGGCGGGACCTTTGAGGGTCTCCAGCTGTCCAGCTCTTTTTTAGTCCAAGCCCCAAATTCTCCATCCTTTCTGGAGTGCAGAGGGGACCCCTAGTTGATACAGGAGAAAGAAGCACAGGAAGAGAGCTTGACTGGGATGCTGAATGAGGAAAGTGGGATCATTTGAACTCAAAACCCCAACGAGTGGGAGGACCTGGACCTGTATATGCAAGGCTCAATGCAGAAATCGAACACAGAAAGCAAACCTGGGGATGCTGAAGAACTAGGAGGAGGAACTAGGAGGAACTTTTCCCGCCCTTGACTAATGCAAACGACTCAAAGTCACAGCCGTGGGCGGCCGGGTTGCAGTTTGGCTGCGGCAGGGATGCTCGCGGTCTTCCCGCTAGGTCCTGAGCATCCCGCGTGGTCCTTCCCAACCCGTCTGAGAATCCTCTAATAGCGGGGCGCAGGCGACCTCTGGCGGCAGCGTTGAGAGTTGCAGATTCAAGACGGGATTCCTTTGTCCTGTGGGAGAAACTGAGTTAGGAATTTACTTAGCTTGGCATCCCAGACACGCTCTCTGACATCTCAGAGATTCAGAGACACGTGTCCTTGTATCTTATTTTTAAAATGGCATGTAATTCTAATTTTTTTATGTGCATGTGTGTTTTGTGGACCTGGCACCTGAGCTCTGAAACGGGCGTCAGATGCCCTGGAACTGGAATCACAGAAGGTTGTGAATGCTGCGAGCCGAGTCCTCAGCAAGAGCAGTCAGTGCTCAAGTGCGGAGCCATCTCTCCAGCCCCTAGCTCTTTTGTCATGGGGAGGGGGTAGTGGGAGGGTCTTCCTACGTATCCCTGCCAGATATGGAATTCACTGAATGAATCAGGCTGCCCTTGAACTCGCAGAGATCGCTCGCTTCGGCTTCTCCAGTGCTGGGGTTGACACTAATTCGTCCAGAGGTTTTGGGTGTTTGTTTGTTTGTTTGTTTTGTTCAGGTTCTTTGTGGCACAGGCTGGGCTGGAAGTCACTAAGTAGGACACAAGCTAGTTTGGAACTTGCCCCAGACTTCCTGCCTCAGCGTTTTCGATGCTGGGTTTACATGTGTTCTGGTGGTTGCCACCACTCACTGCTGTCTTACTATATATACCCTTTTAACCTCAACAAATGATTCCAGGTAGAGAAACTAAGGCTTACTTTGGGGACTCACCTCTCAAAGGTTCGGGTTCAGCGCCTGGTTCACAGAACACACGGTACAGGCGCGCCCTCTGGAGGCTAGGCTTATGCACGGCGCTCTGATTCGTTGGCAGCTTTTTCTTTCCGAGGATCAAGGTTTACTTACTATTAAACTTAATTAAATTAATTAATTAATTTTGAGTCAGGGTCTCATTTTGTAGCTCTGGCTGACCTGGAACTCACTCTGTAGGTCAGGCTGGTCACGAATTCACAGAGACCCGTCTGTCTCTGCCTCCTTAGTGCTGGGATTAAATGTGTGAGCCATTTGCCTGGCTATTAACTATTAATAGTTTCGTTGTGTATCATAGTTACAAAGGCCTGGGGCCATAGCTAGGTAGTAGAATTCCTGCCTAGAATTCTCAGCGTAGGCATGTGTTTGTACACACACACACACACACACACACACACACGAACACACCTCACAACTAGGAAAACATTAAAATAGAGACAGAGGAAGGACATATTATGACCTTAGGGCATGTCCTCTCTCAATACACGAAGACCAAAAGAAAATGGAGTACACGTTGGTGAATGCATGCAAAAATGGAGAATTTTGGGCTGGAGAGATGGCTCAGCGGTTAAGAGCACCAACTGCTCTTCCAGAGGTCCTGAGTTCAATTCCCAGCAACCACATGGTGGCTCACAACCATCTGTAATAGGATCTGATGCCCTCTTCTGGTGTGTCTGAAGAGAGCAATGGTGTATTTGTATACATAAAATAAATAAATAAAAATTACAACAACAGTTTTGGGGGCTGGAGAGATGGCTCAGTGGTTAAGAGCACCGACTGCTCTTCCAGAGGTCCTGAGTTCAATTCCCAGCAACCACATGGTGGCTCACAACCATCTGTAATAGGATCTGATGCCCTCTTCTGGTGTGTCTGAAGAGAGCAATGGTGTATTTGTATACATAAAATAAATAAATAAAAATTACAACAACAGTTTTGGGGGCTGGAGAGATGGCTCAGTGGTTAAGAGCACTGACTGCACTTCCAGAGGTCCTGAGTTCAAATCCCAGCAACCACATGGTGGCTCACAACCATCTGTAATGAGATCTGATGCCCTCTTCTGGTGTGTCTGAAGACAGCTACAGTGTATTCATATATAATAAATAAATAAATCTTTAAAAAAAATGGAGAATTTTAAAAGTATGACCCCGAAGGAAAGATTTGCAACCTATGGAAGTGACTAACGTCAACCTTTAAGCATCACTCCAATAAAAGGGAGGTAACAGAAAGATGCTCATCGCCTTCTCCTCCCCCTTTTTAATTTTAAAAACTGTTGAACTGAATTGCTCATTTCAAAAAAAAAATGGGCAAAGGATATGAGCCAATCTTTAAAAAAGCAATGGGCAAAGGAAATGAGCAAGAACACAAAATACATAAGACCATTAAACTCACAAAACGATGTCCTATTTCCTTAGCAATCACAGAACTACAAGTTGGAACGGGGTGAAACTGTCCTTCCAGGAAATGAGTAATACTAAGTCATCCATGGGGCCCCAGGTCTCGGAGCACAGGTGTCCCTTCCTTCAGGAAGCCCGTTCTGACACCCCAGTTGGGTCAGGTGCTCCCCCTAACCCGGTCTCAATGTCCTCTGGGCTCTCCCTTCCCGGCCCTGCCCACTCTGAGTTGTCCCTGTTTGGGTAGCAACACGTCTGATTGTCCCACTGGACTCTAAGCCCTGAAGAAGTCACAGCTGTCAGTAGCAGTCCCCGCTTGGGATGCAAGTGGGGAACGGCTTACAATGAGTGAGTCAGTATCAGTGGGCTGAGTCCACCCACACTTACAGGGAGGACGTCCTCTGAAATCTCGCCTCCCTCCTCCCTCTCCCCCTTCTCCTCCCTCTCTCTCTTCCTTTATCCTTTCCCTTGCGCCCTCCTTTGATCATCACTGAGCCAGGTCTGGAGTCTGAGAAGCGCTCAAGAGGGCCTTGGAACAGAACCACTTGAAGTCAAAGTCTCCCAGGTACCAAGATCCACAAGCTTCCATCCGCCCCAAACCACTACGGTCCTCCAGGACCATAGAGAGCAGCACGAATTGCGTACTCCGCACTACCTCCCCTGGGGAGCAGCGAGACGAGCGGCGGGACAGAGCGGCAGGAAGTGAGTCTAGTCAGGGGTCTCGCTGGCCGCCGTAGGCGTGCTGTCCGTGCCGGCGGTGCTGGCGTTGTGTCGCCTCTATAACCCCCCGTGGTAGTTCCTTCTGAGCATCCAGAAAGAGCAAGTGAGTTTTGGCAGTGCTTAAACCCAGAGATAGGGCCGAGAGGGGCAGGGTGGGAGGTGGATGGAGACCCCACATTGATGATTGGCAGAGGAAGAAGCCAATCATTGCGGAGGCTGAAACTAGGCCGAGACTGGGCGGGGCGAACCCATCCAGGTGTACTTCTGGGGGCGGGGCCAACTGCCCCTGAGCGAGTGTGGTGCGGAGTAGTAGACGGGTGGGCGGGTCTATAGCCCGTGGACCAATCCGGAGTGAGTAGGGGAAAGGGGCGGGCCCATGGGTTGGTCTTCTGGAACCTAAGGCTACCTTTTGTGGGGTACCGTTGTGAGCCGAGTTTCCCTCTGGAATATGGAAACGCGAACGCCGATGTCGCCGCGCCTTTCAGGCTCCAGATGGACCCTGGGAAGGACGAGGAAAGTCGGCCACAGCCCTCAGGACCACCCACCAGGAAGAAGTTTGTTATCCCTCTGGAGGAAGACGAGGTGCCGTCTGCAAGAGTAAGGGGGAAGACTTGGGGGCTCTTGGGAGTAAAGGGGACAGTAGGGGATCCCTGGGACTACGGTGTGAGTTTAGGCTTAGGTTGCTTTGGAAAAATAACCTGCCGTGCTTTGCAATCCTCGGTTTCCCCGTATGTAAAATGGCACGACAGTGTGGTTAAGAGAGAGGCTGGTAGCTAGGCAGTGGCCAGTGATGGCTTTTGTTTGTCTAGTTTGGGTCTTCGATTGGATCACGTGTTTCCTGGGCTAGCCTTGGGATTGATATGCAGCTGAGGTTGACCTAGAACCCAGTTCCTTCCATCTCCACTTCCCAAGTCCTGGGATTCCAGCAATGGAATTTTTTGTTTGTTTTAATCTTAAGCGTGTGGACGTTTTACGTGTGCTTACGTCTGTGGACTGAATGCATGTAGACCTGCAGAGGTCAGAAGAAGGCATTGGATCCCCTAGAACTGGAAAGAGTGTTGAGCCTCCATGTCTGTGCTGGGAATTGAACCCAGATCCTCTTGAAGAGCAGTCAGTGCTCTTAACTGAGAAGCCATCTCTCTAGCCTCTAAAACATTTCTTTATGGTGCGTGTACACATAAGGGTGCATGCCGTGAAGCTCCTGTGACGGTCAGAAGATAACCTGTGGGACTTGGTTTTATCCTTGTATTGTGTAGATTGTCAGGATTAAACTGAGATCATGAAGCTGGCAAGTACCTTTATCCACTGAGCCACCTTACCTGCCTTTCTTTCTGTCTGTCTGTCTGTCTGTCTGTCTGTCTGTCTTTCTTTCTTTCTTTTCTTTCTTCCTTGCTTTGCAGAGCCTTGCTATGACCTAAAACTTGCAGCAATCCTCCTGCCTCTGTTTCTCAAGTGATAGGGCATTACAGATGTGTTTCACCACAGTAAACTCAGCTGTGCGTTTTATAGGAGTATTCTGGATTTTATAGGAGTATTCTGGATTTTCAAGACCCGAATTTGGATCTGACCTTTGCGTGCTGTTAGTTTTGTTTTTACATTTATTTATGTAGCGTGGTCGGTGTGTACTTGCCAGGGCATTGGTGTGGAGGTCAGTTCTCTCCTCCCACCTGGTAACTTTCAGGCTTCACGCCCAGATTGTCAAGCACCACTAACCACTGAGCCATCTCCCTGGCCCTGGGTCTGACATTTAAGAATTGGAAGGTGGAGCCGGGCGGTGGTGGTGCACACCTTTAATCCCAGCACTTAGGAGGCAGAGGCAGGCAGATTTCTGAGTTGGAGGCCAGCCTGGTCTACAGAGTGAGTTCCAGGATAGCCTGGACTGCACAGAGAAACCCTGTCTTGAACCCCCCCCCCCCAAAAAAAAAAGAATTGGAAGCTCTGTGTATCTATCTATCTATCTATCTATCTATCTATCTACCTATCTATCTATGTTTTTTGAGACACGATTGCTCTTGTGTAGCCCTGGCTGTTCTGGAACTCACTCTGTAGCCCAGGCTGGCCTGGAATTCACAGAGATCTACTTCTCTCTGCCTCCCAAGTGCTAGGATTAAAGGTGTGCGGCCGCCACCAAGGGCTAGAAATAGAAGCTTTTACACTTAAGAAAGAGAAATTGGTGTCCTAGAGGGACGACTCAGCAGTTAAATGCACTGGCTGCTCTTGCAGAGGACCCAGGTTCAGCTCCCTGGCACCCGCATGGTGGCTCACAGTCAGCTATAATTCCAGTCCTAGGGCATCCAGTGCCCTCTTCTGACTGCCAAGGGCACCAAGAATGTACATGGTGCATGTATATACATGCAGGTAAAACACTCAATACAGGTAAAAGAAGAATCTAAAAACTTTTAAAAGGAAATACTGAGGCTGGAGAGATGGCACATCCATTAAGGTTGCTTGGGCAACCTTTTTGTTTTGTTTTTTGAGATAGGCATTAAAGATATGAGCCATCAATACCTATTACTGAAGTGGTTTTTTTAAATTTTCTTTAAAGAATTTTCTGCTTTTCTAGGGGAATCCAAACTTGGTTTGTGTTCCATGCGAGACAGCTCACAATCAATCACCATTAAGCCCAGGGTCTGACACCATCTCTTGGCTTCCATGGGCGCGCACACCTGCACACATGTGCCACACACACAGAGACACACAGACACCTGCTCACATGTGCCACACACACAGAGACACACAGACACCTGCTCACATGTGCCACACACACAGACACACAGACATAAATAAAAATAAGGAAATCTTAAGAAAAAAGAAAGAAAGAAATCTGAGTCAGGCATGGTGGCAAACACCTAATCCCAGCATCGGAGATGCTGAGGCAGGAAGACTGTCACAAGTTCCAGGCTAGCCTGAGCTACATAGTGAGAGTCTGATTCAAAAACAAAGCACAACA